CTGGGGGCCAAACAAACTTACCACCCCAGATGAAGCACTCTTTATTGCTTTTGAACCAACACGTTTCTTTTGTTGATAGTCAAATACTGGAATCAATGCATCCTCACCTTTTGTCAAATCCTGTTTTCAGCATACACTCGCGTTACTAAGTTCACAAACATAATCAAGTAATGTGAAACATGACAATAAAGAAAACCTCGAGATTTCTGACTAGCATATCAAAATCTATTGAACCCAGATCATTCCCTTCATCAAATCCATCACGATAGTTCTCCATTGACACAACGGTGCAACCAATAACAGATGCCACCTTTTCTGCTAAGCTTCAGGAAACATTAAAATTACAATAAAAATTAAAAACGCAACAAACACGAGCAGGAATGCTTTTTGCCTACAGAAAATAATATACATACCTTGTTTTACCAGAACCACTTGGACCACCAATGCCAACTGTTACAAGACCCTCTTTTTTCTCTCTAAGTTCTTGGATAGACTTTACTAGCAAATAATATCCGTGATCGAAAGACTGCATCATCTCAACACCAGCAGTAATTAGGGCATCTCATATAATATCAGCAATGAATAGGTTCAAGTAATGTAATGGCATCCACGTTTAATCTTAACCCGATATCGAGAATAAGGTCAGTTCCAGAATTCTCATTTCCGACAACATAAAGGATCGAATCCAAAAGCAGCAAATGAGATCCTAAACATGCTAAAAATCCCACCTAACCAGTACAAGTAGAAACACAAACTACAGCTCCAAAACACAAATCCCAATTCCATGAAAACCCAAAAATCTTAAGACAAAAAATCACTCCAACAATTCACAATTACAAGCAAAAAAATTGAGAAAATAATGAACTGCAAAGCAAAGTACAAAAAACCCAATAAACCAAAAAGTGTATGCATGTAAGTGTTAGGTGAAAGTGTGGACTTCCATACCACATGGAGAGGAAGCGATTGGAGAATTGAGGAGGAGGAAGTGGAGGGTTGCTGCTGGAAATAGTCGCGGCCTCCTTCTTGGAAGACTCGCTTGACGACGTCGTCGTCCATTTCTGGGGTCTCGACGAAGAAGGCGAAGTCCTGGAAGTGGAGGGTTTGCTGGAGAAATCGCAAATCCCCCACCCAATTCGAGCTCTGCACCTAATCTTTTCTTTTCTTTTTTTCCTTGGATTGTTTGATAGCGAGAGGGGAATCTTTTGCTCCAATTAAAGAAGAGAGAGAATCTTTATTATTTATTTTCCTCGTCCCGCTTGTTTTTGTTTCAGTTTTCTCTCGATTTGAGACGGCATTGTAATTAACAAATTCAGAAAAAATACAAAAATAAATCTGATATTCTAATTAGTATATGAAATTGCTTCGATATCGATATTTTTGTACAAATATTTGAAAATCACATAAAGAAATAAGAAGAAATGAAGTCTAAATTTCATTACGTATCAAAAAAAAAAAAAAACTTAAAATCAACATATTTGATCGATAATTATTATTTTCAATATACAAGTCAGAAAAATTATTATCACAAACTAATGTCTAACACTTTTTAAAATTTAATAATTAAATTTTCATTATTTCTATAAAAAAAATAATCGATATGGATATATCCATTAATATTTCTACAGATTTACATATTTATATTTCTAGAGCTATAAATATTTTAAATACTGATTCTAATTGAACTCTTGTTTTAATAACAAGTTAATTATTAGTTTTCTATTATTGGTGGAAAGGATTTGACGTGAGTGATCCCAAGCATACATGAAAATCAAAACTAGAGATTTAAGATTACCAAGGGCCCAAAGGCCACTTCCACATGAGACGGTGAGAACCCAAAAGAACAGATGAGGAAAGTCCAGTCCCAAACTAACGGGCCCAAATACTTTCTCTTCCTCAGCTGCGCCTTTTTTGACAATAATATGGTATTACTAATTCACTCGTGTTGTTTGTCGAAAAACAATCAATATTCTCATATTATAACATATGAGGTTATAACATTTGTGTGATAAGTTCATGATATATTTTTTATGTCCTTGCTTTAATCTTGAAAGTGAATCATATTCCATAAATATGATAAATATTCAGTGCGATGTATGGCATATATGACAAAAGTGGAGTGTATTATAATTTATTGAATAATAAGGTCACATGATGATATGATCTCATACTTAAAGTTTCTTTTCATAGTGGCTTGACATGTATTCACAACTACATATCTCTTTTCTATTTTTTTTTTTTTTTTTTTTTGTCAAACAACTAATTTCATTAAAGATAAAACATACTGATACAAAGTAAGGTTAGTCCAAAGACAATCCATAACACAGTAAAAGTGCAACCATTACAAAAGTAAAGAAACAAGCCCCAAAAGTGAGCCCAAAATAAAGCGTAAACCAAAAACCCTAGATCTAGAAACGAGAATCAACTGCTTCCACCAAAATAGACGCACCACCATCACCAAGCTGCCGCCACTAGTAAGAATAACCAATGAAATAATGGGAAATGCACTTTAGCAGCCATTGAAACCCAAAGCACGCCTCCAACTGAAGTTCACGGAGGAAGAACTTGAGGAGCCAAATAGTCGAACCAAGTGGGCAGAAGCTCGCAGGTAGGGACAACAATTTGGGAAGGAAAATGCATGAAACTCATAATTGCAACAAGATTGCCAAACATTGAGAAAAAAGCTCAAATAAATTGAGATAGAGCTCAAGAAAAATGAGACAAGCTCAAAGCAATACAACCATAAAACAAGGGCCGAGGACAAAGAAAAGGACGAAGATGGGGTCCAGGGAAGGAGAAGATGGGGTTGCTACTGACCCTACCCAAGGGGAAGGGTCGACGACTAAGTGAGATTGATTTGGAGGTTATGGGCTTGGGAAAGGGGGAGCGGCACACTAGGGTTTGAGAGAGATATTGGTGGTTTGTCCACCTTACAGATATCTTTTCTATTTAAGCAATGTTCGAACTTGGATTTATAGTGGAAAGTATGTCATACTAGACAATTTGGGTATGTCCATTGCACGCGAGTGACTTTAGTTAAAAATCATAATGAATATAGCGAAATCTCAGGTCACTTATTAAGATCATATGGCGTTATAATTGTCACTAATACAAGGCCACAAAAAAATAGTCTTATAGATCATTGTATTAGTATCTCATAATGACAGTAAACTCGTCTTACCCATGTTCATTTCTTTATCTTTTGATCAAGCCCAAGTTTATTATTGTATATACAAATCGATATTAACTTGTATGAAACATGTTCATTATCACGTAACGTTTCAATCCAATGATGCAATGTCATTTATCGAGAAACTTACATATTATTATTTTATTTAAACGAAATGTCATATACAGTGAACATATTTCAGGTAAGTTAATCTCGTACATATTGATCGACAATAAACTAAGATAAAAATGTAATGATGATGATTCGCTGAATAATTAAAGCAGAGATGGACTTCCTGCAGCTACTGAAAGTCAACGCCCTTCCTCGCCCACTACTTTATGTTGGCTTTTTGTCTTTTACGGCTGCCTCTCCTTCCTACAATTTTCTTTTTCTACCCGCATGTTCGCTCATTGACTTTCAGACTACATCGCCATCATGCGCCACTTTCGCCCTCCAAAGGCATGTTCCTATGTGTGTGCCCTCAATCCCTACCATGAGCTCTACCTCCATTTTTTTTTTCCTTCTCTATTTTATGTGAACTCTAATTGGGTTGACAAATTTAGATAAATCGTCACAGTTTAACGAACGTAAAATATTAGATTGCCTAACTGTGACGATTTATCTAAATTTGTCAACCCAAATTTGTCTAACATATATTTTATGTAAACATTTATGACAATATTTTATGTTAACATCATATATTTTATGTAACATACGTGAATTATAAATTTGTTTAATGTATTTAAGAAATCATTTAAATTCGTCTAACATATATTTTATGTAAACATATGTGAACTATAGGTAGGTTGACAAATTTTCATAAATCGTCACAGGTTAGCGCACATAAAATATTTAATTGCCTAACATATGTGAACTCTAAGAAGGAAAATAAATCCCGCAATCGTATCCATTCATTGTACATCGTGCGGTCAATTTTCGTTAAGTACTATTTATATTTGAATTTTAAATTTTAAATTTTAAATGATTTCTGACCGTACGATGTACGATGAACATATACGATTACGAGATCCGTAATATCCCCAGAAAAATGATCTGGCGAAAATTCTTTTCCCTCTAAGTAGGTTGACAAATTTTCATTAATCGTCACAACTTACCACACATAAAATATTAAATCGCCTGTCAGCATATGTGAACTATAAATCGGTTGACAAGTTTTCATAAGTCATCACAGTTAGCGTACATAAAATATTAGGTTGCATGTCAATATATGTAAACTCTAGGTAAGTTGACAAATTTCCGTAATTTTTTTTTTAAGACTTTAACGATCTCATGAGAAATATGGAAAAGGATCCTCGCCAGATCCTTTCTTTAAGGATTCAGGGGATTTCGTGATCATGACCGTTTATCGTACATCATGCGCTTAGTTTTAGTTAAGTACTATTTATATTTAATTTTAAATAATTTTTTATCCCATTTTGTTCAAGAAATATAAGACATACGAAAGATAAGGACACGTGCCGACCTATGAGACAGGGATCATGGCAAGAAAGTGAGGGGAGTTGCATAGCATCCTTCCCCGACCTGGAAGAGTAAGCTTGATGGGGAAATTTTTTTATTTATTACATAAACACGAATGGTACATCACTTGTTTTTATGTAAATTGTGAAAAATTAAAATTTGTAAGTTATTAGCATTTTAACACATATATTACATCAGTTATATAAAAATACATAATATACTATTTTGTGTAACGGTCACATTAAAAAATCTCTCATCAATAGGATCGAACCTTACCTGGGTGGAGAGAGAGAGGGTGCGCAGGATAAAGAGTGGGGGAAGTGAGTCACATTTTGTCCCACAAACCCAAACTCCCACTTTTTTAATTACTTGGGATTGGGTTTCTGATTTTCTCAGAGTCAATCACTCGCAGAGCAGAGAGAAGGAGGAGGAAGAAGAAGAAGCAGAGAAAAATGGAGGATCTGCCGCCTGGTTACCGACCCAACGTTGGCGTTTGCCTCATTAACTCCGATAATCTGGTACCCAAATCTTCTTTTCTCTTCTTAATCTCTTTACTTAACTTTATTAATTACCCATTTAATTATTCTTCGACTTTTTTTTGGGGGGGGGGGGTGGTCTTGGATGTTTATGGATTAGATAAAATCTAATTTGTTATCATGTTAACTCTGACAAAACCCAGTAAATCAAATCGTTTGTACTTGCATATATGACTTAGGCCCGTTGATCAGTGCTCTGTTTTACATAAGTTCGAATCACCCTCTCGTAGATTGGAGTAGTTTAGAATATCGTTTTCGGTGTGATTTTTGTTTTTTTCAGTGGGAACTAACTTGGGTTGGTTGTAATTGTTAAGTGTCTGTATATATTTGAGGGGAAGAAATTGAAACTGTGGGAGATTTTATTGCAGGTTTTCGTTGGATCAAGATTGAATGTTCCGGGTGCATGGCAGATGCCTCAGGTATTAACCCACTTTTTAAAGCTGCAAATAGAGATTCATGAATCATATACAATGTTGAAACTTGAAAAGGAGGCTCTAGGAAGGTCAAAAACACTTCCAGACAATCAAAAGCACTTTTAACGACGTTTGGCGTAAAAAGTTAAAATACTTTGGAAACACTTGTGTTTTCTAGGATTTTTCTTAAAGTTTATGTTGTGTTTCTAGCAAACGTGCTTTTGCAGAAACAGCTTATGAGCATAAGTGCTTCCGATAAAAGCATCTCCAAACGGGCCCTATTTACAGGATTAAGTTTTTTGCCTACTATCTGCACAAAGTTTCCTTTTAGCTTAGGGTAGAAAACCTTAGTGGTAAATCCAACACAGTAAAGCCTCTTTGGGAGGATAGATTTTCCACCAATCACTGTAATGGTTGAACCTTCTCCTTCTTCTGTTTTGTCGAATTACTTTGGTTAACCTTAGTTGCATAATTTTTCGTTTTTGTTTTTCGGATACTCAATCTCAGGGGGGCATTGAAGATGGCGAAGAACCAAAAACTGCAGCTATTAGGGAACTACGAGAAGAAACCGGGATAGAGTCTGCTGAAATCATTGCTGAGGTTTGTATAGAACACTGGAGAAACTCCATACCATCATGATACTCACAGCGGATGTGCATTATTCATTAAGCAATATCTATAATCCCATTTTTTCCTCTGTTCTTGACCTCGAAGTAATTGTTAGACGGAGTTCAAAGCTTTTAAGTTACAGTCAAATTATGTTGTATCCTGAGTTTCATAACTAAGCTGATTGCTGAGTGAGCAGCTGAAGTAAATTTTGCAAACTCATGACAGGTTCCGAATTGGTTGACATATGATTTTCCACCTGCCGTGAAGACCAAAGTTAATCGTCTATGGGGAGGTGAATGGCATGGGCAAGCACAAAAATGGCATGTCCTTATTCCTTCACATGCACAAACTTCATGAGTTAAAAAAACATGAATCTTAAGTCCTGCCTTCTTAAGCTTGCCACAAAAATGGCATGCCCTTATTCCTTCACATGCACACACTTCATGAGTTAAAAACAACATGAATCTTAAGTCCTGCCTTCTTAAGCTTGCAACTTGTCTGCCAAAACTTCTATTAGAATGCGTCTGATGTACTAGGATTATTTCCTCATTAGTCACCAGATGTGTATTGTTGGCATTCTCATGTATCTGTTGAGATACATTTTGATATTAAATTACTGCAGATGTTTGTTAATGTAACATGTGTTCCTATGAATACTCGGCATGTGTAGTAGCGACTCTGGCACATGAAATACCTTTGTATTGTTGTGACGACTGGTGAATTTCGATATTGAGCTTGCTAACCATGTAAATGTTCAGTCGTCATGCTCCTCTCTCGGTTAAAATATGAACTTGCATGATGTAATCTTTCAGTTGTTAGAATGTGCTTCATTGCTGCTGTAAATCTGTATGGATGAGTATTTGAATGGATGGCATAAGGATGGACAAGTTTTACTTCCTAATGACAAACTTGGGCAATTGACAGGTTTCTTATGAGATTCACAAAAAATGAGAGCGAGATCAACTTAGCTAATGGAGCAGCTGATCCGGAATTTGCAGAGTGGAAATGGGCTAGCCCTGAAGAAGTCATCGAGCAGGTGCGCGGAAAAAACTATCCTTGTACTTAATTAGTTTCATGAATATGTTTCACGGACATGATAAAAAACGGGTTGTCTGCTGATTACAGGCAGTCGACTACAAGAGGCCAGCATACGAGGAAGTTATGAAGACATTTGAGTCCTACTTCAACGGAAGTAGTTTATCTGCGAAATGTAGATCGACAAAATGGTGAAGGCCCCGGGTGTGCTTGTGCAGTTATGTCCGTCGTGTTCTTAACTCCTTTTACATCGTTGGATGTGGATCGAGTAGGGCTCCTGCTTTTTGTAAATGATAACGAGAGAACTTGGAAATTAGATTGTGTTTGGGTTGTTTCTGTAACTATATATCAATAAAAATGTATGTGGATTTACTTGTTGCTTCATATGGTTTTTGCAAACATCTCAAATAATCCAAGAGAGAGGGGGTTTATTTTTTCATTTTTATTTTTATTTTTTTAATTTAATTTAATTTAATTTTTCCTTCAGTTCCATTCGAAAAAATCGAAGGCACCTGGCTAGGCCGAAGCTCAAAATGAAAAGAGAAGAATATCGTGACAAAAATAAACAAGAATCTGTATGCCGGAAAGTTTAACGGTGATTAGGGAAGCATAAAAACGGATTTATTCTGATAAACGCTTCATTTGACAACCCACAATAGGTAGTTACATTACAACCATAACTTAAGAAAAAAATGCATCTTGAATATGGGTGCACCGTGCACCAAGATAAAACAAAGCAATAGAGCAAAAAAAATGGATCAAAGCAAGTTCTGACATCGCGGATTCATCTGCTATTTAATCCTCACATCGTTATGATTGGACTGTATTTACATAAACTATCAGCACGAGCAGCTTCAAGTATCGTAGAGATATGGTACGACATGTTCTACTCATCATCCGGCAACCAACTCTACTTCTACCCACTTCCATCGAGCTGTCCGTGAGATAGGAGGTGTGCCATGTAATGCTGCAAACATGTGCACAAAACGCGTAAGTTAAAAAGCACTCTGAACTGGATTTCATTCTATGTAACAGTTATCCATGGAATTGTTGAAGAAAAATCTGGGGCATCATATTTGAGCTAAAAAAAATCATAGCCGCTGCTTGAGAATGTTGAGGATCGTTCACAAAACATATCAATCGACATAAAAATGAACTCTACCCTGAAGTTAACAACGAAGAGGAGGGTGAAGGAAGCAGTTTGGCAGGCATATAATGGTGCTTGTTAATGCTTGCATAAGACCAAAAGTCTCTTCTGAGCTCGCTGATACACCTACAAACGACTCCTACAGCCATTATTTTGGGGTGGGGGTACAACACAGATATTCACCCCTCCGGGTAGGGGTTGAACTTTATTTTTCTGAAAACATTCGACGCAACACAGTTTTGATAACTTTCCCGCTCTTGGCGCAATTTGCCTTACAATGGGAACATATGAATTCTTAAAGCAAAACTGAAAACCACTCTACCCTAAGCAACACGACAAGATGGAATGGCGAATGAGAATGCTTTTCTGGCTTGTAAAAATGAGAATTTTTGAATCCGGAAGCATCAAAACACCAATTAACATAGCAATTCTCACAAGAAAAACAGAACTATGAAAATGCAACTAGAAATTCAAATTCAAGTAGAAACGAGTAACTTACGGCATGATAAGCATAGGGTCCTTTCCCCTGTCGCTCAAAGTGTTTGGCCATGATGCAATACTCAATCGGACCCCATTCTTCGTTTTCGAAACAGTTACCAAGCGCAGCTTTATACAACTGACCAACAAACCAATACAAACCAAATCAAACACATAATTACTTTGGTAAGACGATATTCTAAACTACTCAAATCTCCTGAGAGGAGTTTCGAACACATTGAAAGCTAAAACCTTTTGCATTCAAATAATTTGAGTCCTCTCACAAACCTTTGCCGTGTCCGTCAAGAGCTCGGTTCCGGCGGGGTAAGAAGCATAGAACTGGTCAGCTCTCGAAAACCCAGCTCGAGTTCTGCAACACCAAATACAAAAACCATTGATGAAAACAGTTAAGAACAACAGGAACTTCACAACCCAGATATTTTTTTTCCCATTTGATACGCGTTCGAGGTAGGTTGTAAAGCGACTCACGTATTGCTTGTGTAGGCGTAGGTCAGGACTGCTGTGAAGCAGTAGAATCCGGCATACGACGCGATTCTCCGGAACTTCTGAATCTTCAGAATCTCTTTGCAGCCATTGTACAGATTCATCGTGATTTGCGACTAGAATTTGAGTACCTGAAAGCCAAAGGTTTTGCAAACTTCAGCTACACATTTGATCAAACAGGTGGTGTGCTGTCACTTTTCCGGCGTCGATGGAACAGGCAGAGGTTGCAAAATGGGCAAGTATTAAGCAAATTGGGCCGGCACCACATGTTGTTAAAGAGTTTGACCCATTTGGAACCAGGCTGGGCCCAAATGACCTTTATTTTTATTTTTTTTTTAAAGAAAGACATGTTAAAAAATAAAAGCAAACTAATGAAAATGGTTTGATAATTTTGAGTTTTAACGATAAAGAGTAAATTGAATAGTACCAGGATTGACTTTTTAGTATGAAAACGTGATTTTTTATTAAAATGAACAGCACCAATAGCTTTTCGTTAAAGTTTCTAAAAAATAATTTAAAAAAATAGAAAAGTAGTTGGACTTAATGGATGGACGGTGAGTTCAATTCATATAAATTTATAGGTTTGATTTTAGTTGACTTAAAAAAAGTTATAGCTTTATGACTTTGATTTTATGCCTTTCCAAAATCAGAATATCAAATTCTTTTAATCAGGTCAAAGATACGATTAACATAATTAATCGATTGATTTCTTTTTAAAAAGTTATGAAAATTGTAAAGAAACGATAATTATACTTATTGTGTAAGTATTTAAAAGTGTTTATTTTTACACAAAAAATTTTGTGTTTAGGTTTAAAATCTTCTATCTTGACATAAAATAAAAAACCAAAAGTAACGATATTTGAAACCAGTTATTTATCAACACGTGTTTTAACTTTTTTACGTAATTCAAACTCCTCTTGAACCTCATTCTCCTCCCTCCGTTTCTGCCTTTCTGTTATTTCAGCTTTTCCCTCTATCTTCCCTTGGTCGAATAATTCATGCCCCACTTTTACCACCAACCTCCATTAGTTCCTAAGCAAGCTCACCGCACTAAATCAAGCCACTTCTCTGATAACGGATCCTCTCCCGAGCTAAATAGGCGGAGCCTCCTCATCAAACAATCTGGATCACTGATTGATGTGCAAGTCAAATCAGGCGGTTGTGTGTGGTGGGCCAGTAAAATGAATTAATAGAAATCGTGAGATTCAATTTATGCAGCCCATATTGTTTGATGAGGAGGCTCTGGCTGCTCCAGAGAGGATCTGTTCTCGTCATAGTCAACTCCACCACTTCGTCTTCCATTTTCTACACCTTCTATGAAGCTCAGAGCCTCGAAGCCTCACCTCATCGCAATCCCTCGCAAACCCTGCTTCTCGTTTGGCTCCGAGGCAGCCCGGGATGCTCCTCCTTGTTCGGTAACTTCATGGAGATCGGTCCTTGGCACGTCAACCTTCATGCCGGCCACGATGATCATGATCAACAAGTACACTTTGTGCTTGAGCCAAACCCGGGTGCTCGGAACAGAGTTTTTGGCCTTCTTTTCCTCGACAAGCCAAATTAGTACCAGATTTAGCATCGCACCTCTACCTTGCTATCACCAAATTTATCGAACTTGCGATCATAAATTGGACAACATATTGGTTTTTTTATTCTTCTCATTTTTTCTTTGAATTTTAGAGTTTAGGGTTTAGGAGAAAATTAAAGTTTTGGATGCAATTGACCAATTATAAAAATTCAAGATGTAATTGGTTAAAATTAAAATTCAAAATAGCAATTAACAACTCCTTATAAATTCGAGAAGAAAATCAATCAATACCTCTTTTTTAAATCCTTTTCTTCTTATTATTATTTAGGATGCTTTGTTAGATGATAATTTTAGATTGGTCAAATTTTATGTCCTCCGACACAAAATTTATTTCGTGAATAAAATCCCCCCTTATTTGGTCAAAGTTTATAAAAAATGAAAAATCAAACTCAGGAGTCAAAAGTGCACATGAAAGCATTAACTAACTTCACAATCATCACACTTTAAATTATGAATGTTCATTAATCAATTTGAATGAAACCCAATTGACTAAATATAATAATCATCATAAGTGAATTGCAATGTGACACGATTTCATTAGGCTGAGATGGTGGGTCCAAGTACGTTAGGTTTAGAATTCATAACGCTTTAAGATAACTAATTCATTTTTTATGACATGAGCTACATTACTACGTAAGAATTTCGTGTCAATGAAATAAGAGATATTTAAATAAAAATTACATATGTATTTATTTTATTGACATGAAACGTAACTTTGATGATATAACTGTCCAATATAAGTAGTGTGCTCGTACAACGTAATTATTTCTCCACAAAGAATGTAATATTTACGTGAGCATGATGATTTCCTTGCATGATCCGAGTCTTTGTACATTTGTAGTTGTACGGTTGTACCCCGAGAAAGACAAGAAAGAAATAAATCGCGTAGGCAACAAGAGTCTAAATCAACAATGCTTGGAGGTGAGGAGGCTGAGATTGAGAAGCCAAAGCAAGTGAATGTCACAAGAAAACATGCAATTTATTTGGCATCTTGTATCTCAAAAATTTCAGAAATTTTTCGGTGTGTTGCGAACATGAAATTTTTTAACCAATTATATTATGACGTTTAGTGGATTGAGTTGTTTCTTTAGCATACTAAAAAATTTCTCCAAAAGTTCTTATCATTATAGCAACCCCAAAAATTCGCACTATTTAAAAGTACCGAACCATGTCTTGACATACTGAAAAAAACCTCTACGAAGATTCTTATCATTACATCAACCCCAGAGATTCGCTTTACGACTCTTCCCAATTTGTAAGGTTGCAATGTATGTGAGCAAGCATGCTTGGCCGAGAGTTGACTTGTATAAAGCGACAACTCTTTAAAATTTATCCACATAGTCACAAAATTCAACTTTATAACTTCACTTTCATAATTAGCTTGAAATACCGCTGCTGCGTTCAAAATCACATGTATCATGCAAAGTCGTATGTATCATGCAAAGTCGTACACGTCTCCTTGAAGCTTTCCTTCTTTATATAAAGCCATATCGTCAAAGAAGGTGTCTGCACTCCCTTGCACTCCACTTTTATCATCAATGGAGTCAACCGCCCGAAACCATCTTAACCTCCTCTTCCTCCTCCTCCTCTTCTTCTTCTTCTTTCAACGACGCGTCGCCACTGCATCGTCCTCTCCTCTCTTCCCCAAAGAGGCCCACCCCACCAAATCTG